ACGGGCCGAGTCTGTATCTTGGGAGAAAGGTTCCAGCCTGAGGGTCGAGCGCAAATTGCCCCGTGGCTGGAGAAGGGGGAGAAAGGGTAGAAGTGGTCTGGCCTGCGAGGGAGGGAGCCAGGGGCCCCACAGCACAGGCCCTGGGCGACCACAGTAAGCACCTGAGTTTCATGGTTAGTGTGGCTGGGGCCACTGGACGGTTTGGCCCCTGGAGCCCAGGATACAATCTACATTCATGAGTCTCTGGGGTGCCTGGCTGGCTGAGTGATGGAGCGCGTGACTCTTGATCTCAGGGGTGTGGGTTCGAGTGGCCCCACGTTGGGTGCAGAGATTATTTTCAAACAAAGTCTCTAAGTGGGGCGCCCCGGGGCTCGGTCAGTTAAGCGTCCGACTCCTGGTTTCGGTTCAGGTCATGATCTCACAGTTGGTGGGATCGAGTCCCGAGTCAGGTTCTGCACTGACTGTGGAGTCTGCTTGGGATTCTCTCTCTCTCTCTCTCTCTCTCTCTCTCTCTCTCTGCCCCTCGCTCACTTGTGCCCTCTCTCTCAAAAAACTGAAAAAGAAAGAGTCTCCCTGGGCTGTTGTGTACAGAACAGGAGCCGGCTGTTGGTGGCTGGGGGCCTGGGGGGTGGAGCTGGGGGGGATTCAGGACGTACTGGAAGGTCGGCTGACAGGGTTTGCTGAGGACTGGATGACAGATGAGAGAAAAGAGGTCGAGGGCCTCGGCCCTGTCGTTTTGTTTCGGTGCCGTTTTCGGAGGCGGGAGGCAGGGGGGAGGCTTAGCGGGGAGATCAAGGGGGCGTCGGGCGGTGTTGAGTGCGGGGGGCCGGTTAGGCATCCGGGTGGAGACGGCCGGTAAGTGTGGACATTAGGGGACTGTACAGGTCCGACGTGAGTCCTCGGTGCGTAGATGCGGCTTACAGCAGGGAGCTTGACATGATCTCTCTGGAAGCTTGGGGGCTCAGGGCGGTGCCGGAAGCCGAGCTATCCGACCAGCCTGATGGCAGGGCCCCGGGCGGTGGACGGATCGGGACCGCAGGCCGCCCACCGACAGCGAAGCTTCTTATATTCCCGCTTTTATGTAATTTGGCCTTAATAAAAGTACCTGGGGAATTGTCTGTTGGAGAATTGCCCTCCACAGGCCCCCTGGGAAAAGAACCATTGGGGAAAGAAAATAAGGTTCTGCAAGGAAATTGTGCGGCCCTGCATTTAGCCCTTTCCACCCCCTGTAAAGACTCCTCTACCTAAAGGAAGGATAGCCTCCTACATTTCCCAGCCAAGGAAGGAGCAAATGGATTTGAAAGCCCCACTCCCGCAACAAAGAAGTGTATCCATGGGCACAAGTTACTCCAACCCATAGGCCCCCTTGGCCCCCAGGAGGCATTCCAGATGATGACTGATCCTAGTCGGTTAAGGTACAGAACGGTTCATTAGTTCCTAGGTGCATTGTCTCTCTGAGAACGTGTAAGGCGTGGGTTCCTAAGGCCCTCTTGGCCCCCTTCTAGCACCTTGGACCGAGACGAACACTTTTGTTCCCCAAACCACAAACGGTTCGGGGAAACAACTAAGAGGTCATGGCCCCGTAACTGTTCCACTTGAGGTGTTGAGAGATAGACGACCTTTCATGAAAACAGCAAAGCAAATGCTCTATAGATTACAGATAAACGTAGATACATCATGAAAATAATGTAAGAAATTAATCAATAAGCAAAGGGCAGGAGGCAACGTTATGAGAAAATAACCATGTTATTCCTTAAAGGGTGATTACACATGGGAATGTTTTTAGAATCAGGTAATGTCGAGAAACACAGATGACGCACGCTACAAGGAAATCGCTAGCAAATATAATGCCATGTTTGCCACAGTAAAGTGGCCAGTCTAACCCCCTCCTGTGGTCTGTGTCCATTTTTGTTTCTGCTTTTTTTTTTTTTTTTTTTCACTTTTTTGCCGACACCGTTCATCCTTCAGGAACCCCTGGACCCGTTGGAGCTGGACTCCGGCAGGGCAGGGGGCGGGGAGCCTCCCGTGGGGTGGGGTTTGCAGGGGTGCCGTTGCTTCGCGGCTAGGGGTGCAGGAAAGAGCCGGGGGCTCCCCCACCCTAGGCTCCCCGTTCCCAAGCCCGCCCCCGCTGGCAGCCCTGGCCCGGGATGCCTTCCTCTCCCGACTCCTGAGCCCTCCCTGGTTCTGGGGAGCCAGCGGCCTCCCTGTCGGCAAGACCTCACTTTGCAGGCACCCACCTTAGCGCCTGTTCCCCTCCGGATATGGGCCCCACTCCCCCCTCAGCCTCTCAGTCAGGTGGTCCCCGGTATCCTCCTGGGGGAGCCACACTATTACCGTATCACGATTTGATTCGCACTCACTGTGCTGTGGCTTTGAGAAATAGACCCACGATTAAGCCCCATGTTCCCCGGAGTCTCTTGAAGGACAGGGTCTGAGTGTCACCGTGGAAAGAGCTGAGGATCCCGAGCCTGGAAAGGCTTCTAACTCCGGGGTGGGGGTGAAGCCTGATCCCCACCTGCTGAGCCCGCTCTCCCCACCTCCTTACAAAGCCAGCTCCCCTGGACACATACATTCGAACGGGAATAAAAATAGACAAAAGGGGCGGGGGCGGTGCCTGGATGGCCCAGTCAGTTGAGCGTCCAACTTCGGCTCAGGTCATGATCTCGCGGTTCGTGAGTTCGAGCCCCACGTAGGGCTCTGTGCTGGCAGCTCGGAGCCTGGAGCCTGTTTCAGATTCTGTGCCCCCCTCTCTCTCAACCCCTCCCCTGCTCACATTCTGTCTGTCCCTGTCTCTCAAAAATATATTTTAAAAAAAATTAAAACTAGACAAAGGGGGGGGATGAGGAAAAAGAGGCGGCCCGCCAGGCAGGGGTGCAGGCGCTGCCCGAGGCTCAGGAGCCTGCGCAGTGCTGCCCCCACCTCCCTCCCCCTCCCTCCGTCATGGGAACCAGCTGCACCTGCGCCTAGGGCGTGTGTCTAACTTCCAGGCCGAGTTCGGGGGAATGACCTTGACCTGACCCGGGAGACCCGGACAGCAGCGGGGGCTGGGCCTCCACTCTGGGTCCGCAAGCCTGCGCCTGCGCACGCCCCCCACCCGGTCCCGTGGGGAAAGAGCATCCAAGGAGATTCTCTCTCCGAAACCGCTGCGTGGCTGTGCCCGACACCCTCTCCTCTACGACCACAGCGCCCTTCAGTCGATTCCCAAACTTGAGCCCCAGGAACACTGAGCCCGGGGCTCCCCAGCTGCCTGCCACACGCCGCGTCCGCCCGCGTGTCCCACACCCTATGGGCCGCGTCAGAGAGGACTTTGCTCAGGGACGAGTGTCACAATACTCCACAAACAGCAATGCATTTATCCACACACGAAAGCAAACAGCACTTTAGAAGTTGCTGGAAGTGTAGAAACTTCATGATCCTGTCCCCAAACCCCTATCTTCGTCACATTGTTTAGGATTCTGGATACAGATCTGTCCCCTGGTCCCCAAATCGATCCTGATACTCTTCCCTTGGAGCATCACTCTTCTCAACAGACACGGGCCGCTGTCAGCCAGGCACCAGCAGAGACGGTCGGCGTCAGACCCCGTCCCTGTCCCGCCGGGAGCGGCAGTGCAGGGTTCAGGATCCCGTCCCGCACCCTCAGGCCTGCAGCCCGATGTCACCGTGCATCCACCGGGGCCGTCCTCCTTCTTTGGGCCTCTACGGGGACACGGATTCCAGCCTGATGAGGTTACCGTGAGGGATAGCACGACAGGTTGTGCAAAGTTCCTATGTGCCTGGCACGTCACATCACGGGAGCTCAACAGGTGGTCAGACTTATTGATAACAGATAAAGGTGGTGGTACTTCCCAGATGTCGGTCAAGTGTGAGAGTCACTAAGGCTACAGGAGTTCAGAGCTGCACGAAGTTCACCAGGGCGGCTCCGTGGAGAAGTGGGACTTAACTGAGCTGTCAGTTTCAATGACAGAACCCCCCGCTGAGTCTGAAGCTCAGATTAAAATGAATACTTCAGTAGAAGTGTGCCCCAAATATTGTCTGGGCCTTACTCCCACTGAAACAGTATTCACTGTTTATCTGAAATTCAGATTTAACTGGGGATGCCCTATTTTCATTTGCTAAATCCGGAAAGCCTGAACGTGAAGAGAGGGCGGCTTGCATGGCCGGGAGGCAGGGGAGGAGGAGGAGGGGCTCTGCCAGGCAGAGGGGGGAACAGGGACAGGCAAGCAGGCTGACACTGCCTTATTCTTCACATTGTCACAGTTGAGGGCACCGAGACCCAGGACCGCTGCTGCCTCGTGTTTAAACCCCCAGCCTTCCTGGCTTCCAGGCACCGCCGTCTCCCTGGGGCAGCGGGGAAACCAAGGAAAAGGACACGAACGCCACCTTCACGTGCACCCCACGCGGGGCGGGCCCTGTCCCGGCAATTCTGCTCCAACACAGCCTCTCGGCCGGCCGCCGACCATCATCAGCTGTTGTTGTCGTGGTTGTTTCTTTCCGAGAGTTGACCGCCACACCTAGCCTGCCACACTGCCACTCCCTTTAACGCTTGCGCCGAACCAGGCTGCGTCTGGGGCACTCACGTGAATCGAATGTTCCTTCCCTGCTCGGTGTGGGGCTCCGCCCTATCCGACCCCGCGACCAGCACAAAGAAGAGGGCGCAGGTGCGGAGAGAAACGCCTTTCATCCGTCAGGTGCCACGGAAGGTCATGACAAAGATCTACCACAGGTCACCTTGCCCCCCACAAATGCTGTCCCCAAGGGGTTTCCACATGAGCTAGACATTGTGTTTCAGAACTACAATCAAACAAAACCAGATGGTCTTCAAACTATACCTTGAACTCCACTAATTCTAAATTCAGCACAATTACATCTATATTCCATCGAGGCAGGGCTCGAGGACAATGAAATTTAAAAATATATCTTAAAGTGTGATGGCTGTTACCAAATTAGGTCTGCCCAGTAATCCTGATAAGAAAAAAAAAAAAAAAGAACAGTTTAGGGGCGCCTGGGTGGCTCAGTTGGTTGAGCATGGGACTTCGGCCCAGCTCATGATCTCCCAGTTCGTGGGTTCGAGCCCCGCCTCAGGCTCTGTGCTGACCGCTTGGAGCCCAGAGCCTGCTTTGGCTTCTGTGTCTCCCTCTCTCTGCCCCTCCCCCCAGTCACACTGTGTCTGTCTCTGTCTCTCTCTCTCAAAAATAAATAAACATTAAAAAAACTAGAAAGAAAACATTAAAGTATAGCAAAACTGGGGCCCCTGGGTGGCTCTGTCGGTTAAGCCTCCAACTTCGGCTCAGGTCATGACCTCGTAGCTTATGAGTTCGAGCCCCGCGTCGGGCTCTGTGGGGACAGCTCAGAGCCTGGAGCCTGCTTCCGATTCTGTGTCTCCCTCTCTGCCCCTCACCTGCTCGTGCTCTGTCTCTCTCTCTCAAAAGTAAAAATTTTTTTAAAGAAAAAAAACAGTTTAATTCAACAGATATGAACCAAGAGCCCTCTCTGGGCACGGAGCTGAAAGGGAGGCACCGCTAAGACCCAGCTCTGGTCCCCACAGGGCATGTGACGGCAACAGACACAAATTCAGTTGAATTTCAGAAGGGAAAGGACACAGTGAACTTTGCTAAAGACATGATCTCACGGTTTGTGAGTTCGAGCCCCGCGTCGGGCTCTCTGGCTTCAGATCCTCCGTCCCCCTCTCTCTACCCACCTCCTCCAACCGGCTCCCTCTCGAAAATAAACACTTAAAAAAAAAAAAGGAAAAATGTCAAGGGGGCCCAGCGGAGGGAGTCCTTCATGCACAACGTGGGGAGGTGGTGCTGAGCC